TTCTGTAATTTGCAGGATGATTTTGAGAGAAACGGACGTACTTTCTGGACGATCCCTTAACCCCGCGCACTTCTGTAGTTAGACTGTACCGCACGCACGAGTGCGGGTGTGTTGCCTACTCGCCCGGCCCGTAAGGCGCCGTGAACAGGGGCGATAGGCAAGCCCGCCCGCACTCCTGCGTGCGGTACAGTAACTACAGAGGTGCGCGGTGTTAATCAGCCACCTGGTACAAAGTGAGAGGGTTACGCAGCGAATTTATCGCGCAGGATTTCTTGATTGCAGCTGTCCTCAGCGGCTCCGGCGTGTTTGTTTACACGTATCGCATGGTGATTAATCGGGACCGTGGGGGGAACTCCCGCCGCGATTAAACCACCTGCCCGAGAGCGCGCGCAGGCAGGGGCGGCCGCGGCCGGCCGGCTAAAGACCCCGACAGCGGAATCAAGTACACACAGTACGCACGGCGAACACACCTCGAACCAGGTTCTCCTCCCCTCCCCGAGCAGGAAGCCAGCGGGGCGCAGTGGCATGCATTTATACATGGCCCGCTGGAGACACTGCTGGGGCCGGGGGCCGGTTGCCGGGAGCCGGGTGCGGGAAGCCGGCGGCTGGGTGCCGGGGATCGGGGGCTGGGGCCAGCGGCCGGACAACTGGACGGCCCGCTTGGTAAGTCTCGCATCCAGCCACAACTGGCCATTTGCAGGCCGATACTAACCTTCGTACAGGGTGCTGGAGACGCCGGCGGCGTTGTCCAGGACGGCGACGGCGAGCACGGTGAGCAGCGAGGCCACGGCGGCGAGTCGGGGCCGCCGCAGCCCAGGGGCTGTTCTCTGCCCTCGCCCCATGGCCAGCTAGCCGATCAGCTGCTACGGGAAGCTGTGGAGGAAGTCTTCGGCGTGGGGCCAGGCGCGCCGGTGTGCGGCGCCACGGTCGAGTAGTGCGTCTGGGTGCTCCTGCGTGCCCGCTCGGCAGCAGAGAGGAGCTTTTGCACGTCCCGGACCGAGTCGTCGACAGGAACTGGTACTGGTACTACTGGTATCGGTTTCGCCTCTCCCCGGTACCCACTGCTTTCCCCCTCGCCACCACCGCACCCGCTCCTCCCCTGCTCCGCCGAGGAGCGCCTTGGCTGCCTTGCCCCCCCGCCGACCGGCACCCGCGTCATCGCGCCATGGGGCAGTCCCGCGTCCAGCGCGTCCAGCGCGGCCAGCGGCAGAGGGGGGTCCGACCCCAACATAAACAACCTTAAGAGTTGTAGGAAATTAAAGAAACAAAAAAAAAATGTAATCAAAACAAAAACTCCGTGTCAACGCTATTACGGACAAACACGTGCCTTTACTCGTGACTCGTGGCGAGTTCGGGGGAATTCCATTGCCACACTTTTAGAAAGCCCCACGTATGCGTTCCAATGCGCCAATAAAAAAGAGAGTGGTCGCTAGAAAGCGCTTTAATTTTCTACCGAGGAAAAGCGAAGAGGGGCTCTTGTTTTTGGTGCAATTGTGCAGCAGGGGAGGATGGCACCGCTGGCTGGCGTCCTTTGCGGCAGGAAGCAAAGTTCCAGAGGAGTCCTGCCCTGTCCTGCCGGAGGAGACTGTTTCGTCACAATGCCGGTGTGGCGGTACTGCAGCTGGTGCTGGGGGTCCTCTGGAGGCGTTATGTGGGGCTCACCGCGTCCCGCCACGCCACGCCCCGCCACGCCCCGCCACGCCCCGCCCCGGTTGTGTCCTGCTTTGACAGAATCGCGGAGCGCGACGCGTGCTGGTGCGGCGGGGAAGGTGGCGGCCCGGGGTCCGGGCACGATGCAAGCGGGGCAGGGTCCCGTGCAGGCCAAGCTGCGGGCCGAACTTACACTTTCCAGGTATCTCTCACAAATAAACCTGCTCCGCTGGGAAAAACGCACCCCCTCCCACGCGTTTGCTCATTCCGTATATCAGAGTGCGGGCGCGAGGAGTGGCGGAAAGCCAAAAGGGGGGGGGGGGCGTTTGGTAACCTCAGGTGCGGGGCTCTTCTCTGGAAGCAACACGGTGAGGCTGGCCGCCAGCTAGCGGGGGAGATCCGTGGCGTCAACCTGAATCCAAAGGTTTCTCCCCGATCGTCACCTGAAGATCTCGCCTTCAGTTTGGGATGCATTTCCCCCAGTGGCAAGTTTAAATCGTGCTGCAAACACTTCACTATACAAAAACACATCAACGTGTTTTTATTTTTTAAATAATAGAAGTTTAAGCGTTATCTTGGTTTACTGCTCATCTCCTGCCCTGCACGCGTCGTCTTGTGAGTGAGCTCGGCTGCGCACTGAGTAATTACATACCTTGCGAGTTGCCCAGCCACCCACCGCACACTTGCCGTGTGTACCATATACGTAGGCTTGCCCGGCCCTTGCTCTCCTGCCCCGGAGGGAAAGAGAGAGAAGGGGGCGGGGGGAGGGGGAGCTGCGCGACGCGTCCTGAGAGCGACAGTGAGGAGAGGATGCCTGTCCTATGCGGGGGGCAACGCGACAACTGTCACTGCCGGCGCCGCGCGGGCGTGCGAGATAACAGACAATACACGCGCACGCGGAGCACGCGCACACACGCGCGTGACGGGGCTGGCGGCGGGGGATGAGGCAGCCCCAGCTGCAGGCCCACGGCACTCCAGCAGTCTCCCAGGCTCCGCAGTCTCCCAGGCTCCACGGCGCGAGCAAGCACGTCGTGCTCCAGCCATGCCCGGTACGAGGGCGACGCGCGCTGCCGTCGCGGACATGTCCGAGCACCTCGCCGAGCACCTCGCCGTCGACAACTAGTCGTCCCGTGCAAAGTAAAACAGTGCGTCGCGGAGATGTGGTGCAGCGCCGCCCTGCTGCAGCTGCTGCAGCTGCTGGTGGTGTGCTCCGCGAGGGCGTACTTGGATTACCCGCCGTCCACGGCCGGTCTCTACCAGTTCATCGGTGAGTAACACTGTTAGAAAAAGTTCTGGGATTTCACGAATGAACACTCGTGAAAAATATTGCCAAAGTCCTTTGGGATTTCCAAACGGACTCCATAGATTTTACTTGCCGAGTTTAGCTTCGGCTTCGAAACACTCAGGCGACCAACAGCTGCTTTCCGACATGAAAACTTAAGAACGGAGTCCTCTGGGAATTACTTGTAGTGGTTGAGAGAGAATCTTTGTGAAATCCCAACACATTTTTAACAGTGAATGTATACTATACACGAGGTCCCGTTGCTTCGCGCCCCCACCGTCGTCGTCGTCAGCTAGATCTCGGCAGGACTTCTTCAAGCATTCACAGATACGCTCAACTACTGCCTCTTTAGAAAATAACGTAGCCGCAGGCGAAGGTACGCGACGTCACTTTGACGTCATTCGACGTCACATTAACCTGTTTCTCCTCTGTCCGTCCCAGGCGCCCCCGGGCCCCAGGGCGCCAACCCGTTCTACTACCCGCCGTCGGCGCCGCCGTCGCTGCATCCCCGCGGCTCGGCCACCTTCCTGACGCCCTGGGACGCGGCCGAGGTGCCCGGGCTGTACGCCAGCCGCTACGCCGCCAGCGCGCTGCCCCTGGGCATGCTCACGCCGTGGCACGCACCGCCGCACGCACCGCCGCACGCACACGCACCGCCCCAAGCGCTCGTGCAGCACGCACCAGCCCAGCGTTTCTGTAAGAGAAATTTCAGAATTACCCTTCTCGCTCACCGTCCGATTCTTTTCTGCTCTTGTCGGCATGGCTGAGCTCAGATTGGTCCAGGAGGAGCGAGCAGCCAACGTCACTTATGCCTCTATTGACAGCACGGGGTACTTTTACCCCGTGCGAGACTCCGTTTGAACATCCAGGCTCATTCTCTCAAAAAATGGAACAAAATTATCTGAAACAAAGTGCGAATGGAAGAAGTAGTTGTCCTTGATTTCTTCGCGCCCTTGTCGCCCTGTTTTCAACTACATAAGGTACGAGGGATGTGAAAGTTATGTGACATTCTTTTTAGATAGCGGTCGAGGACGCCCTGCTCTGATCCCAACTCCATACGCCAAGTTCTCTTCGGGCGCAGACAAGCTGTCGAACAACGTGAACGCTGTCTCGGTGCATCCAAACGCGCGTAAGTCTCTACACGGCGCCTCGGAGTCGGGCTGTTCCACGCCGCGCGGTCTTGGTAGACTGTACCGCCATCCATGCATGTGGGATGGTTGCCTACTGACACGGCGCTCGTGGAGTCCTGCACTCTAGGCCGTGCCGTGCGACGTGGTGATTGCCGCTACCGTGAATATGCTTTGCGCAAACGCCAATCTCGTACGCCACTGTGGAGTATGGAGAACATTTGTTTAATTTCAAATTGTAATTTGGCTTATCCTTTACACCTTCTCAGTGAACCTCCCGGAGCCAGGGTTCTACGGCCGGGCGGCCAGCACGGGGGTGCCGGGACGGGACGGCGTGCAGGGTCTACTGGGTCCGGAGGGACCGGCCTACCACGATAAGGCTGCCATCGGATTCTACGGAAAACCTCTAAAGTGACCCAGGCGGTTGGAATAATAGAGGTAACTCTTTGTTCCCATTGAACCACCAGTCCATTCTGGCCATTCCGGTTGTCCCCTGAAAGCAAGGTGCCTGAAAGGGTCTTTTGCGCCGAGCTTTAGTGGGGAAGTGCCAGGCCAGCACTCTGATGTCTGCGACACCTTGGTCTGCGACTATGTAACGTTACATCTTTTTGAAATGGCATGAAACATTTTGAGGACAAGTAGAGCCTCCAAGAAAAATTTTCACTTACCCTGTACACACGATGACACTCTTTTCTTGCCCGTTTGATCGCTTAAGTACTTGGGGGAGGGGGTGGGGCTGACTCATTCCTCTTTCTGCCAACTGAGAAATACTGAAAGAAGTTTCCGGTAGAATACAATTTGCTGAACTCAAATCTGTAAAATTCAATATTTCAAATTCTCACTACATCTTTTTGTAAATCTTCTTCAAATATTAGCATTGTAATTTTCCTAATAGAAAATTTAGAGATAACAATATGGACGGGAATGTTGGTAAGAAATTACTACAAGTGGAAAGGGCGGGGATCTGCGATCTGTAACTGTTTGCCTGCTGTTTGTTTATTTACATCCAAAGACAGCTGTCACTTTGTCGAAATGAATTCATCCTTTGCGAACCCCATATCTTTAATGGACTTTTCTTTAAATAAGAGTGATATAAAACATACATCAGTTAGTAAACATGGTAAGATAATGGTCGGAAAGTGTGTAACAGTTTTGAGAGACGCGTCATAACCCCAATTAAGCGTTAGGGTTATGCTTTGAAAACTGATCTATTTAGTTTGATTTTGATTGTCTTTCCTAGGTGATCGAGAATTCATGGTATGGATGTCATCGTTTAGCCCAAATCTACTAAGTAGATACCCGACTCTTACGAAGGAGGCTCAATCTAAACTTCGGAGCCTGTACACCATCAACCAACAAGCAGACAATGCTGTTGAAGAAGTACTTAGGGGCTTAAATCGATGCGAACAGGACTATGAAGCATTGGCAGAGAAGACTGTAAGTCAACTTCAGCTGCTAGGTTTGAGTGAAGATGAAGAATTCAGCTGCGAGACACAAAATGTTCTCCGAGAAGTTGGAGCTATCATCAGTAAGGGTCATGTTGGAGACGGAACTGGTGCGGGCTCTGCTGCTACACTAGCTGTAGATTTTTTGGCTCACGCCAGTGCTGCTAGACAAAAATTAAATCTGCTGAAAGATATCAAGCTGATGCGAAAGAGGAATGAGAGACTGAAAGATAATTTGTTATATTTTGAGAAAGAGTATAAAATGGCAGCAGATGAAGTATCAAATTTGCAGAATTATTTAGAAAGCTCTGCTGTTGAACTGAATGTAAGCCACTCTAATCTTTCAAACTTAAGTAAGACAAATTCATCATCCAGAATAGAGTTTGAAAACCAGGCAGTACCTTCAACCATCTCAACTCAAGCCATATTGGACTCACATTACGCTTATGAGGGTTTAATCAAAGACATACAGAACCTTGAAAAAAAATTTGAGCAATATGGAGAGCTTCCACCTAGCATTACAGAGGCTGTTAAAATAGTTGAAAGAACAAAGGAACAGTTAGAGTCCACTTCAGCTACTCTAAAAATGAAATTGACATCTTATCACAAGTGAGAGTATCGATGATGAAAGGAATGCAATGTGTACTTTACCTCTGTTGCTACATGTTTTAATATGACCGAAAATAATAAAAAGAACCTCTAAACATGACAACTTTTTCAGTTGGAACATTTATTCACAGCATAACAACCAGCCATCATTAACAGAGATTTAACAACTGACCAAATTTTGGTCATATGTACAGTATTAACAAAAAAAATTTACAGAGTTTCATTGGCATTGATAAACTAGATAACAAAATATATGCAAAAATAAAATTTAAAAATTACAATGTTTACAACTTTGTCAGTACTCTCTCAGTATCAGAATCATCTGAGATACACGGGGACCTAGACGATGCTGGTTGCACAGATGGCCCAGGAAGCAAGTTAATCCCTTGCAAGTGAGGTGTGATAGATAATGAATTATTTGTACTAGACCCTGGTGGTGTGTTGGTCACCATGTATACCTGAAGGACATGGCGGTCTGGGTTATCGGGCAAGGGGGTTTTCAATACAATAATAGATCCAGGTTCCATTCGAGGCAGAGTCGGTGTTGATGGTAGTAATCGGCTCACTGGAGTTGTCACACTAAAGCTGGCTGGGTTTTGAACATTCTGTGGTGTCACTTGAATTGTCCGTACTTTAGAGGTGGGAGTAGATTGGTGCACTTTAGCTCCGCTTGAAGTGACTATGCATGATGCTGATGGTAAACCAGGGCCTGACACTTGCACTGTTTTAGAGGTGGGAGTTGTCTGATACACTTTAGATCCGCTTTGAGTAACTATGCCTGGTGCAGATGGTAAAACAGAACCTGGCACTTGAACTGTTCTAAGAGGAGTGGACTGGGGCAATTTATAGATAGGTGTAAAGTTTGTGATGGGAGATGATACAGGCTTCGATGATGGTGCAGCACTTGGTGTTGTTTGTAGAACAGATCGTTGGACTACTTGAATGGCGTTAGGTGGGGTCACAGACATTCCAATACTGACAAGGGGAGGAATTCTCATGGGTGTACTTTGTACTGGAATGTTCACATGTGAAGGAGCTACAATCAACTTTGTTCCAGCGCTTGAAATGAGGTTCAAAGTAGGTGGAGTACGTAATCCTGGCCCAACTGATGGTTGACTGTTAGAAACTGATGCAGGTAACTCTTTTTCAGAAGCACCAATAATCTTTGTAGGAACTTCATTGCAACTTTTAGAAGTTGATTCTGATGAAATTTTCACTGGCCTTTTCCTGGGTTTAGTGACTTGCTTGGTTTTTATCTCTTGTGGGTTTGTGTCCTGCCCATCTATTCCATTCAAATTTGATGGGGTTTCTTCATCCAAGTCAAATAATGCCACAGAGCCAGCTTCAGAGTCTACATTAGAAGATGTGGATAATGGAACAATTTTCTTCTTTGTCTTTGATATTTTACGTGAAGTTCCTGCTGGCAAGTCTCCAGGCCCAGCTTTTGTGTCCACATTGGAAAATGCTTGCTTTCCTTGCTTCTTGTCAGAAATATTGACTCCTAAGGCCAACATATCATAATCAGCATCAGCGTTTCTATCTCTTTTGACATCCATTGGTATTTCTTTCCTTGGACGTGATTTAAGTGGGGGCTTCCTCACAACCGTATCACCAGGTGAGTTTTCTTCCTCTTCTGTTAGAAGTTCTGCCATTGCTGATACACCTGAAAATGAAATGGACATTGAAAACTACCATTATAAAACACAATACTGTACACAATTTAATTTGTAAACGGCAATTTTGTGTAAAAATCATCATACATTTGGTTTTCTTTTTCTTAGGTGGTTTTTTGGCTTTCTCTTCAACATCACAGGGTTTGTCTTTCTCTGCTTCTTTTTGCTTTGCCAGTTCCTCCAAACGTTTTTCTTCTTCATCTTCTAATTCTACAGTGAAAATAAAATGTAAAACAATTACTAGGTAAACAAACAGAGTTAAGTAGCCAAACACTGTCTTCAGATTTAACATACCACACTCTTTCTGAAGCTCTGATACATCAAAGTCAAGTGGTTCTGCAAGAGCTTTATTTACAAGTTTACAATTTAATTTTTCTTCTTTCTTAAACTTTAGTTTTAATTCTCTTCGGGTGCGATTACGAAAGTATGGTTTCATTAGAGAAAAATCAGTTCCCACAACGTTGAGAGCTCTATAGAATTTTTTGGTTTCTGAAAAAATTCTTAAGTTGTATAAAAAGAAGACACACAGTAAGACGCAATATTTTTAGTAAAGCCAAAGACTTATACTCTTACCATGATCTGACCAATCCTTTGAGCGAATTATTTTTTTGTAATGGCCATAGCTAGAACCAGTCTCAACGACAACTTCAGATCTCTCCAGATCTTCCCTGCTTTTTTTGGTTCCAGTAGTTTCAATAACCTTTAAAAGAATAGGATAATCTTGAGAATAAATTTATAAAACTAAAGAAAGGTAGCATAAAATATCAGGAAAAATTAAATTAAAAAACAACAAAAAATGGATCAAGCTCTCAGACTCTTACCAAGCTCTGTTCATCAAGAATTAATGAGCCATCAGCCCCAACTTTGACTTGTGGAACCGGCATAGCTATCTCCTCAGTATCGTCATTTGTGTTTTCCTTCCCGCCATCAACATCATCAACTGATTCTTCATTTAAACGATCTTCTTGGATGGATGAAACACTGGAAACACTGAAAAAGATACAATCCTGAGTGAGAATTTTAGAACTATTTGACTAGCACTAGTTCACATTAAAAATTTACTCAGCCTTACGAATTCAAGCGATCACGAATCTTCTTGGTTGAAGAGTCATTTGATCTGGAACAGGAAACAACCTGTTAAGATGTACTCAAAGAATGGAGAAATTAGTAACTGCTGTAAGATCTTACTTCATTGGATTTTTTGATGGGTTGTAGAAAATTAAGTCAAACATTGTTAAGCTTGACCGCGGCAATGGGCCATCAGTGCTAAGTCGACTTTTTAGACTTTTCCGTGCAGCAGCTACTTTTTGAGCATTGGTGGATTGCTTTCGCTTGACACCACTGCAAGAAAAAACTGGTTTAGATCATTCTGTGAGAGCTAAGAATCTCCACACAAAAATACATTGACCTACCTTGATTCCTTTTGTGGGCTTGAATTGGACTTATCTAAAGTATTGGAACTATCACATGCTGTTTCATGGGAATTATCTTTGGTCTTTAACGGAGAGCTGGCAGGTACTTTGAAAGATGCAGGCAAATCAGGAACTGCCTTGCTACTGGAACAAAAGACAATTTTTTTATAAGTTTAGGAAATAAAAAATCTTGTTATATAAATAGGACAAAATGTTGCAAATCTCATTAATTAGCGATGACTGACAGGCTAATTGTAGCACTTTCTAAATTGACTTAGGCACTCAGAAATTAAACTAGTAAAAAACAAAGGAGTGAAGGATTTCTTATAGAATAAACTAAAACTAAAAATGATTGGCATCATATGTAATAAAGCTTACCCCGTTTTTGTTTCAGGAAAAGAAGGTACAGGTGTGGAAGCCTGGCCACCTAATTTTGATGGTTCATTGATGTCAGAAGCTACTGCTTGTTTGTTGTTCTCTTCAGGATTAGGTCCAGGAGTGGTCACAATATCAATTTCACTGGTTTTCCTTTGAAGCAATTCTGCAGGCTTCAACCTATTTTAAGCAGAATGCAAAAATAAACATAACATTACTAAAAGTACAACAACAGAAATTGTGAATTTTTTTAACCATAATCTGATGACACATGCTTTTAATAAAATGTCAATTGGTTAAAAACAAAATATCTCATTGCATTAACTCAGCAGAGGTTATTCTATCTAGCTTGAATATCACACAGTCTGTGTGTTAAAATCCAAGATGACATTTAGTAGAAGTAATAATAATAACAACAATGATTTCATACTTGTTTGGAGGTGGAGAACATGGAGAGGATACTGCAAGATCACTTGCAGGTCTTTTCCTCGCAGCAGCTGTTAAGTTCACAGTGGGCTTGGTCCGTCTACTTCTGAGAGGAAGGCGGTTGCTTTGAGTGACTGCACCATCAGTGGTGAGAGCAGAGGTTGAATCAACTTTAGCAGCTTCTTTAACTACTTCTAACTGGCTACTTGAATCTTTATCATCATTAGAAGATTTAGAGCCAATGACGTCATGGTTTTTTTCTGAAGAGGAATGTGACTTAGCAGAGCTTTGTACAACTTCTTCATCAATGCGTGCAGATTTCAATTCAGAGTTACTTATATGAGACTCAGTGAGTTCTCCATCTAATCTTTCTGAATTTGATGTGGATGTAGCAGAAAGAGAACCACAATCTTCTTTACATGAATCACTTGTACCATCAGCGGACAAGGATTTAGTGGTGCTGACGCATTGATCTCTGTTAACAATAACAGATTTTCGATCCTTTTCCACAGTCACAATTACAGACTTTCTATCAGGAGTTGATGAAGAGTCAGTTATATTTTCTGACTTTTTACATGGACTATCAACCTTCTCTTTAACATCAAGTGGAAAATCTTTGATGGAATTTTCATTGACTTTCGTAGATGGGGGAGATGTTTCATCATTACCTTCATCTACATTTTCATTGGTTTTAGTTGTAGCTAAAGGACGGTTACGTCTAGCAGGTAAGTTGGCTACTGCCTTAATCCTTGACCTGCGTGTCGCCATTAGGAGTTATCTGCAACAGAGAAATTAAAAGAGTCACTAAAGTAAGCAACTTGATGGTTGGTATTTCAATAATTTGGAAAAACGACGACTTGACAAGGTCTTTTTTATCCAAAATCAAAACTTAAATATTTCAAGCAATTGAGAAATCATTATATGGTGGCACGGTGACGAAATAAGATAACAATTATAGCGGTAACTTTAGAAAACTATTGAGAAAAACAACATAACCTACAATAAATATAGGAAATAAAGAGAGAACTATTAGCGGATGACAAGAAAAAATACCTAATGATATTCGACATTTGGTTTATCAGAGAAAATATTAAATATTTACTTCAATTCTTTACTAATATTACAAGGTAAAATAAGCAGAGCAGAACAATGGTGTTGGAAAAACCAATACATCGCAAACCATGTGTTCCAGGGATCATTTAAGTCAAGTCATATGATTTTCTTCAAACCTTGAAGTTCGTGTCCTTTGAATTGAGAAACTAAACAATCTCAGGGTAGCAATGCGGATATATGATCGACACAATAAGAATATACATCGTGTTCGCTTTCAAAAAAGCTCGCCACAACCCTAGACAAAACGAGCCAAACACGACATCTTGTCTGACGCCCAAGCATCCCCCCCCCCTTTTCCCCCACCAACTACTGTGCAAAACATATTGTCTGCCCTGGCAATCCCGGTTGATTCCGACCTTTCTTCTGGATCCTAGCTGGATCTGGAGCCTTGCAAGCGAGAAATGCCACTTTAAGAAGTCCAATGCATGATTTTGGAAGTATCAGTGATTCTTTATTGGAAAAATTGGTAATCTGCAACCTTCTTGCCACGCACTGTACGGAAGGAAGGCAGTAAACGGACCGAAATAAAATTTATTGGTTCAGCTGAAGGTTTTTTAAAACTTCCTCTTGTGAACGGCGTGGTTGCAGATGTCTTTGCTCATTGTCCTCGAGCACCACATGGGCCGGTAATTGTGCAGGACAATCCGCAAGCAAGAAAGCAGAAAAACGCGACATGTGAAGAGTATGCTTGATATACGCGGGTGGAAAGTTATATCACTGGCTACGTCCCACACGTCGCGGCTTTCTGCAGCTATGGGCCGAACGCCGCATCCCGCACTCGTCGTCGCGTCGAACGGCGATACCCCGCGCAAGGCTTGCGGGCACCGCAACAGTGATAGAAATGGACGACGTTTTGCACGCAGTGAGAACGCCAAGAACTTCATATATGAGCCATTGTACTGGTAGCGCCTGCAAAGCGCTGGGTAGGCAATCCCGCCAAGCACCTGCGTGGAGCCGGCGGCCCGCCCCGCCCCGCCCTCTAAGCGCTTGGAGCACCTTTCGTGACTACCCCTACAAAATGTACCTTCAGAGGTTGGCGCTCAAGGACCAAAGGCCTACGTCTCCCAGCCAGAAATTGAATGTGTCGACTCAAAGTTGAATTTCAGGACATCTAATGGCCATATCAACGTCGATTCAACGTCCCAGCTGGGGCCTGATGCCGCCAAGCACACTCTTACTGAATTTGTTTGGAGGGCAGGTTCCTCGCAACAACCGGCTGACGCGCCTCCAAGATGCGGTTTG